GGCAGGGGCGGGGAAGGGCGGGGGCCGGGACCTGGGCAGGGCGGGAGGCCGGGTTGGGGACAGGGCCATAGCTTGGGAGGAGCTGGCTACAGTCCGGGGCTACGTCCGGGATAAGGATCCCGGAGAAAAAAGAGATTGCGGCCGGGGCAGTGCAGGGACTATGGAACTTCTGGAGGGTTCCAGGAGCAGATTGGGCGGAGCCAGCGGTCTGGAAACCCGACCCAGGGTTGCAAGTCCGCGGCTGCGTGCCGAGGGGCCCCCGAAGGTTCTTGGACTGTGCGGGAGGGAGTCCTGGAGATGTGGGAGCCTCCGCGATAAGCAAGGCCTCGCACTTGCTGTTCCACATGCCTGGAAAGCTCTTCCCTGCCCCTAGCAAGACTGCTTCCCTCCCATCCTTCTGGCTCGCGGGGTTGGGCGGGGAACCTTCCCTCAGAGATTTCTCTGACTTCGCTCGAAGAGGCTCCTGGCTCTCATAGTAACTTATCATCTGCCTCATGAGAATGTTTTCAGCATTAAATGAGATCATCTGGGCTCTAAGAATAGTGCCCTGGACACAGTGAGAACCCAATGAATGTCTATGGTTATTATTATTATGTATAGGTTACCCGTAAGTTCAGTCTCTCTCCCTATGTTGGATCCTCAAAGGCAAGCACCAGTGTCTGGCATGTTGAAGCTCAACAAATATTGTCAGATGAGTGAGTGAGTGAGTGAGTGCGTGAGTGAGTAAGTGAATGAACTCCCAGCATCCCAGCCAGAGCCTGGCACTGTCTGGGCCCAGGACATCAGAGAGGTGGCTGTCCGTGTTGGGCAGGAGGTTCTCCCCATAATCTGCACACTTCCAGTGAACTCAGGGAGGCAGCCAAGCTCGTTCTGGATCTTCAAAGCCCAGAAAGGAGGCGGAGAGGTGAGGCCCGGCAGGAGGGAACTTGCGTGTGCCAGTCCTCACCCTCAACCTCATTCACATTCACTTGCATACAGTGTCAAGTTCAAGACCTTCCCCATCCTCCTGCCCTCCTTAACCCTTCCACTGACCCTCCTCAGCACCCCACCTCTTTGCATTATAGCTTTTGCCGGGTTCATTGGAGATACACATTTAGGGGTTTCCTTCCCCACCGGACTGGCCCATTGTTGAATCTTCTTTTTCTTTGTGCTGAGAGACATGAAGAGACATGCAGCAGTGACCATGACAGACAAGGCACCAAGAGACACTCCCCTGAGCAAGGACCTTTCAGCCCAGAAGATGCAGGGCGAACAGGAGCCTGGCTTGCCAGGAAGGTGGAGAAGGACATTTCAGGCAAAGGGAGATTATAAAGACCCCTGAAATAGAAGTGAACTTGGCTTTTTGTAGTGACAGAAGGAAGACCAGAGAGACTGGAGACTAAGGGGCATGAGGAAGGGGGATAGAGATGAATTAGGCGAGGGCCAGACGGTGCAGGGGCCATCATTGGCAGTCTTGGGTGGTGAGGTTTGATTTAGGCCTGTAAAAACTCGGCTAGAGGAGAGGCAGGGATCCCTGCGAGGAGCCTGATGCAGGCGACAGCATCAGATGGGAGGTGATGGGACTTGGGTTGGGCTCAGCAGGGCACAGTTGAAGGATCCGGGGTACCCTTTGGAGACAGACACACCAGGTAGTCCACAGGACAGGCTGGATGACAGCATGTGTTATATGTGGAGGCGGGGGCAGGTGAGGGAAGAGAGAAATGAAGGATGACTCCTAGGGTTTTGAGAGATGGAGGAGCCACGGCTGGGATGGGGAGGCAGAAGAGAAGCAGGTTGAACAGGGGCTGTGTGATGGGAGCAAGAGTTCAGCGTCGGACGCTTTAAGTTTGCAACATCTATTAGTCATCTGGGGAAGATGTCAGGTAATGAGTCTGTGAGTCTGCCAGCTGGACAGAGTTGGGGTTCCACTCCTCTTTCACTGCTAGCATCCCAGCCGGAGGCTGGCCTAGTCTGGGCACTGGACAAAGGTTTGTTGAGAGAAGGAATGACTGAAGCCAAGTTTACCGTCGACCTCCCCTCAACCACTAGAGGGCAGCACCATTTAA